AGACAGTTCCTGAGCAGCAATCGCTGCCCCCCGGCCAACCCTCCCTAGTTTGTATACTGAGCATGACGTCATATAGTATGGAATAGCCCTTTGGTCAGTTTGGGTCAACTGTTCTGGCTGTGCCCCCTCCCAGTTTCCTGTGCACCTGGCAGAGCATGGGAAGCTGCAAAGTCCTTGACTAGCATAAGCACTACTTAGCAACAACTAAAACATCAGTGTGTTATCAACATTCTTCTCATCCTAAATCCAAAGCACAGCACTATGCCTGCTACTAGGAAGAAAATTAACTATCCCAGCTGAAACCAGGACAGGTCCTCAAACACGTATCTCCAAACTTTGGTTGAAGAGAAGTCTGTTGTTTGCAAAACAGATTGAGATTACATAGAATGTAAAGGAAAGCTGGTGAAAATAATAACTGAAAGGTTTTTTTTAAACATAATATTTCTGAAAGTTCTTCATAGGATCAGGATTTTAATTGTATCTGCAATGTGAGCTGGCAGAGGAAAGAAAAATATCACTTAAAATTTTGAGTTCTTAGCAAAAGTGTGTTTGGTTGATACATCTCTCTAATTGTCATGCCTTTGGCTCAAGTATTCTTCCTGAAGATCTCTCACAGGAAAGAGCCTCTGATGGTAGGTAGGTCATATCATAATCCACGAGGAAATTAAGAGGGAACTAAGACTTGTGAACTCCACATGATTCCTGTGATCAGGAACTCTTGGGTCAATATAGAGGAAAACAATTGAAATTTTTATCTGATGTTTTACACAGATGAGGCAAAGTACATTGTTTGGTATTCACACAATGAGTTTGTGTAGTACAGAATGTGAAAATGAACTGTTTTGCTGAGATGATATTTGTAATGTGAAGTCAGAGGATTATCATAACAGGAAGCAGTGCAATTCTACATTGGCTGAAGGTGTTCAAAGTGCCCCTGTGTTACAGGTCTTTCTGCTGTTGTCCCTTAGAATTGTAATGTTCTAAAAACCACTCTTGTCTTATTTACAGGTTTGCCAACTGACAGATGAGCATATACGTCACTTGGTGAAAATGACACGTGATTTTACCCTGCTTTTTTATAAGGTATTGGCACATGTTTCTGAGAAACCTCTAAAACTTGACTCTGGTATGTTAGCTGTATGTGATCATCTAGTGAAAACCATAAAGAGATGGAACAGGACAAGTGTTTCCATGAATAGGAATGTTGGTTTGTGTGCTCTTTATTAATTGTGAATTGTCAAATGATGGAAAGATGGGGGAGTCTAGACTGTAAGAATGTGCACAGCCTTGGCCCAGTTGCAGCAGAAGAGTTTGACAGATGCTGCCTGAGGGCCCGTGCAGTTTTGCTGTGCATGTGCTATAATGTCACTCTGAACATGTCAGAATTGACGTAGGTTAAGGACACACTTATATGTAGGATAACATAAAGGTCTGTATTGGGTCTGGCTGAGGTGGAGTTAATCTTCCCCATAGCAGCCCTCCTAGTGCTGTGCTTTGTATTGGTAGCTAGAAAGGTGTTGATAACACACCAGTGTTTTTGCTACTGCTGAGCAGTGCTCCCACAGCATCAAGGCTGTCTCTCCAACATCTCCCCCCTCACCAGTAGGCTGGGGGTGGGCAAGATCTTGGGAGGCGACATAGCCAGGACAGCTGACCCAAACTGACCAAAGGGATATTCCATACTGTATTATGTCAGCTCAGCAATAAAAGCTAAGAGAAAGGAGGAGGAAGGGGAGGCATTCGTTATTTACATTTGTCTTCCGGAGCAACCACTACGTGTACTGAAGCCCTGCTTCCCAGGAAGTGGCTGGACATTGCCTGCTGATGGGAAGTAGAGAATAAAATCTTTGTTTTCTTTTTTTGCTTTTGCGGGCAGCCTTTGCTTTTGCTTTTTGATTAAACAGCCTTTATCTTGACCCACGAGGTTTTTTCCCACCTCATTTTCTCCCCACCTGTCCTGCTGAGGAGGGGAGTGATAGAGTGGCTTGGTGGCACCTGGTGTCCAGCCAAAGTCAACCCACCACAAGGTCACTCTTCAAACTGGGAACTAGAGATTGCCCCAGGGAAGTATGAAGGTAATTCATGTGGCTTCCTTTATGAAACTTGAAATAGCAAGTATATTTATTTGACTAAATAGGTTGTAACTTCTAACAACTTTTTTTTTTTCTAGCTGAAACAACTGTTTTGGTTGCTAAAGTGAAATAAATTCAAGCTTCTCCCTACTGCCACAACTTCATTAGGACTTCATTTCTTCACCTGTGAACTCTATAATTCCTGGTTGCTCTTTAAGTTTCCAAAATAGAAAAAGAGAGAATTTGACCTAATTCTTGTCTGGTTTTCTTCTTTAAGCTACATGCAGAGAAATGAACAGCAGCAGTGAAATTCTTTTCTTTTTCTGTTGGTATTCATGAAAGGCAAGAAACTAGGGCTGCTAAAAATTCTTTTTTTGGTAGGCTAGGAGGAGGGCACCTAACTTTCCTAATACTGTCTTTCAATCATAAAGGTTAAAAGTGTGATTTGTTTATTTAATAGTCTGCTTAAATGTCTGCTTTCCCACAACCCACTGAAGAGTAGTTTATTCTGTTGGCTAGGGAAATCTTTCCATTCTCGGAACTTCATAGTGAAGTCTACCAGTAAAGAGATAACATCCAGTTCTGCAACAGCTATACTACTAGGAGATTTAAATGTGTCATGGGCTTTTAGACTGAAGATAAACAAACAAGTTAAACTTTCTGTAGCTCAGTTCAGCCATTTTCAAAACTTTTATAATCTGTACTTAGCAAGTATTTACCAGTCAAGTGCTTCTAAAGGAGAGCTACCCCCCTCCAATTCTCTTTAAGATAAAAACATAACGAAAATAGGTTAATAAGGGGGGTGGTGCTTGATCATTTTTTTTATAGACTCTTACAGACTGTTGGTAGTAATCATACTATATTGTTTGTAGTAACACCCTACACATGTAAAGATGAAGAATGTTGTTTGTCTGAAAAGCTATTGATTTTGTTTGGTTTTTAAATAACTAGATGGAAGGAAACTACTCATAAGAAACTATCTGTAAATCCTGAGGAGACAGCAAATTGCTTGTGAATATTCATGCATATATATATATTAGTAATTCCTTCTGATTGAATTACTGGATTGTACCAGCAAAAGCATTCTCATTCAGCGAGGTTGATGAATAAGAGCAGAGCAGAAGCAAATATACTGTGCTCAGACACCTGTATTTTGGGAAAACTGAGGGTCTTCATGTATTATGGAGCTAGAGCTATTGAACCCTGCCAGAGCTGGGCTGGTATTGCTGGGCCAGCTGTGGTATTGTTTGAACTATGCCCAAGGAACTGTGATTGTAGTGCAGAAACTTGGTGGCTCTGCAGTTAGCTGCACCTCTACTGGGTTTTTCTTGTTTGGTTTTTTGGGTTTTTTTTGGGTTTCTGCCAGTTATGGGGTATGTCTATGCTGACTCCATGTGAATTGTCTCATGAAAGCCCTCTGGAGGCTTTTTAGGTCACTGTGCCCTTTGGGCTTGTACTGTACTTAATATGACTTTCTGCCAGGATCTGGGTAGCTTGCCATGGTGCCAAGTGGCTTTTCATAAGCCAATTTGTCTGGCATGTCCAGTGCTAAGATGAAGCTGAGCAACTTTACTGGGCGATACAGACTCCTACAGAATCTCTGGAATATTTCTGCATTGCGCAGTTCTTTAGGTTTTGGGAAGGTTGATTAACCCAGATTGTAGCATCAGGTGTGAGCTGGTTCTGCGGTGTGTTTTTGGTCTTTTGGGGTGAGGGAAGGTGGTGTTGGTATTGTGTGTTATGTTTGTTTTACTTTTATTTTCTATGCTGCATTGATTGGAGCTTATCAGCTCTTTAAGAACTCTCCTGCAGGTGCCAGGTCAAAGATGACTGGTGATGAATCAGAGCTAGCTGGCCCAGGGGTCCCTAGCATATATTTGCTTGCACCATGCTAGTATGTTTTTTTGTCTTGTGTCTTTTATTCCGTTATGTGGAGAATTCCAGACACTGTTATATCTGATGTAAAGTCAGTTCTTTTCATAAAAGATTATGAAATACAGATGGTAGCCCTTATGAGTGTGCCTTAAACATCTTTATGTAGTCATTGAACTGTCACTTCACGCTGGGTTTTTTATTTTAGCTTCAGCTGAACTGTAGAAGGACTGACAAAATTTATACTGGGTCTCTAACTTGGGTTTTAAACATGTTCTGTTTTAGTGCCGCAAAACTGGATCTCCACTCTACAAACACTATAAAGTATACAAGCGCCCAACCTGTGGTCAGTGCAATGGGAAGATCACTGTGTGTCGTTTAGGAGAGAATAACAGGATGACTTACTTCTGCTCTCGATGTCAAAAGGCAGATCCCCAGCTTGTCAGTGTTAGGTATGATGGTAACCTTATAACACTTTTAAGCATTGCTGTCCTCAAAGTGCAGTTACAGTAAGAGGTCATCACTTCTGAAGTAGAATGGATCCTTGTGCATTTTATATCTAATTTCACTTGACTTTGCAGAAGAAAAATGTTTTGGCCATTGGTATTTAAAAATGGTTAAATGCTGTGATTCTTTGATACTATTTCTTTCAAAGGCCCCATCTGTTATGAAATAGCTATTACTCTAATCAAATGTAGAAATTATAAAACAATTCAGAGTACTCAGAATTATTCAGTGCTTCTGGAAAAATTGCCCCTTGTTCTTGCTGTTATCAATATAATAGGCTTGGATGTTTACACACAACTGAGTTGAATGGCATAAGGTAGGAATTTGTGTCTCCATTTCATAGGATAGCCCCTTCAGTCCTGGAATATCTAAATAGCTGTGCATCTGTGCAATTTTGTTCTAGGTGTAGAGTTACACTGAAGAAAACTAAAACTTAGTCAATTCAGAGTGCAGCAAATATTGTAGGGCTTAGGACTTCTTTTTTTTTCTTCCTCCTTACTGGGTCTGGGAAGCTTTTACTACAGGTGCGCCACGGAGACACTTTCAGTTCTACATAAATTGTGCTAGCAGCAGCTTTCTTCCTTTTATTTTAGAAAAGCACAAAATGCACTTGATATCACAAAGGGTCAAAAGGTAAAAGTTCCAAAAGCACCTTATTCAGACTCTTGCATACCTAAGTTATTCTTGCAAATTTTCATCTGAGGTTTCAGAATCTTGTCTTTTTAAACTGATCTCTGTCAATCTCATAAGATACTGCATCACTTTGCAAACTTTGCCTTCATTAGTGTGTGTGTGTATATATATATTTTTAGATAAGATTTGCAGAGCACACAAATCCCTCTCCCGCCTCCAACCTTCTTTCAAGATTCAGATGGCTGAAGGGATTTTGGTTGAAGCTTAAAAATTGCCTTTGAGTACAGATCAAATATAGAAAATTCCAGCATGGAAGATAAATATTTCACATGCTGATAACCCCAATTTGCTGTATTTTCAGAAAGCAATAATGAGAACTGTTTTGCAGAAGGTAGGAAGACAGCAGTGTTCTGTTGAGTCAGATAACTAGAAAATGATGCAAGGAAAAAAAAACTCTCTGTTCTAGAACAAGTAGTGGTTTGTGTTTTTGTTGTTGTGGTTTGTCTTTTTTTTAACAAATAATTAAACAGTGGTATATTTCAGTGAAAAACATGGTAATGGTAGCTATAAAGTAAAAAGGTTGTTTCTTGTGCTGTCTTCATCCTAATGGTCAGGTCTTTGTGTTCTACTGCTCTGTTTTCTGTTATGCAGTAACTGTTTGCAAATAAAAGCATGTTTAGGTCAAGTGGTTTATCTGCCATTCCAAGCTTTTCATGTTCGAAGACTGAAAGGAGTCCCTGTGATCAGACTGACTTGCTACTGATAATAAACTGTAGAATTTAATTCAGTGGTTCTTGGGTCAAGTCAAATAGCTTATATAGCTCAACTGAAGAAATGAAGGAAAAACTCATTATAAGCTGCGTCATTAAATTCAAATGTACCTTGAATCTTTAAAATACACTTTCCCCCAATATTTCATGTTCCAAAATGGGGAGGAGAGGCGGGGCGACACGGGGACACACATCATGATGGACGGACCTGGGAGATGACACAGAATTAAACTCCAAAACATGACATGCTGAGTATCTTCAGTCTAGTAAAGCATTTTGATAGCTGAGTAGAACAACTGATCTAATAATGTGAAGATACCCTTTTTTAACACTTCCAGTTTGGCTCTTTTGTTATCTAGCCACAGTATTTTGGTGAATGCTACTTTAAGGTCTGTTCTACCTCTTGACAGCACAGGATCTTTGGTATGTCACAGTTCTCATTAGCCTCCTTAGTTTTCCTGTTGCAGAAGAGATGTGGTAGGTAGTGGGTATCCCTACCATTATCTTAGAAATCTAGTCTGTTAAGGAGAGTGATAATTAGGGAATAAGTGATAGGTCTGAGGAGTGTCACACCAGTTCCCAAGTACAGCATTTGCATTATTAATTGAAGTGCTTAAACTCTTAGCACTTCTTAATTCTTAGGATTAAAAAGAAGTCTCCAAAAAGTGCATAATTCCACAAAAACTATGGAGTAAAACACTTGATGACTTAACCATAGTACTTAAAAAGTTACATATATATCTTACTGAACAGGTAAGTTCAAGTTACATTTAACACGCTAACAGTGTTTGGATACTATGATGAAATTAGTCCTTGATAACATGTAGTGACTGTAAAATAGTAACTGTGATCCTAAATCAGTGTATCAGCATAGGAGGTATTATAATTTACAGGAAAATAAATGAAATTAAATCTATAGAGGTGTCTGGAGTACAGCTTTGGCTCACCAGTCACAGCTGGGACATTCCTGAACTCTTTCTGATGAGGAGGAAAAAAGCATGGGGAAAAAAAAAAAAAGAGAATCCTTAATTCTGAACAGACTCCTAAATGTTAAAAGGCTTTCCAGCAAATGGTGACACACAAAAGAAAGACTTTCTAACTTGGAAGATAAGAAAAAAGTTCTGTTGGCTGTTACGATAACAAAGTGATCTAATGGGTATCGTCTAAATGAGAGTAAAAAAATTTGTTTGCTAGATTTTGTGACTTTCTGTAGTTTGACTTCTGAACAGTTCTTCATCCAGTAATCCATTTGTTAGTAAGCATTCTGTATAAGGGATGGGGGAAAGTACCGAAACAGTCTCCCTTTCTCGCCAAGTTTCTGGCTGCAGCACTTGGAAATGGTAGGGAATTTGAGAGAGGCTGGGGCATTGTGCTGGAGAGTACATCAGTCAATAATTGACTTTCTGTCCATTTTTGTTTAAATATTTTTATTTGTATTACTTCTGCAGCATTTGGAAAGATTTTCCCTTGAGCTAAAGAAAAAAAAAAATCAAACTCTAATCATGATTTGCTGTCCAAGCTATGATAGGCAGGCATAACACTGTGTACAACTTGTTCTCTAGCCCTGTGCCTCCCTGCACATAGTGGTGTAGGGCAATTTATAGAAGAAACATCACAAAAGACTAACATCATTCTTTTGTTTCACAGCAAACTGCCAACTAGAAATAGCCTAATTGGCTGGGCATATGGCAGGGGGTCATGTTCTAATGAACTTGTAGCTCAGAAATCTGAAGAGGAGTGGACATGTATGTGCTGTACCCTAATAAACAAGCCTTCTGCTGAAATTTGTGATGCCTGTTTGACTTCAAGGCCTGAAGGTATTGAAATGTTGTCTGGAACCTGTACTGGCAAAGGGGGAATATTGTAGTTTTGATGCAGCTTTTAGAACTATGGAACTGTCTCATTGTGAATTTTATTTATGTAACTTTAGCTAACTTGAAATCAGATTTTGGGGAAATCTTACACAGACAATCGTGGAAACTGTCTTGTCTTAAACCCTAGAAGTGTCTTGTCTTCCAGCTTTGCATGCAGGTGGGATTTTATAGACAAGCCTCTGCAGTGACCCTTTGCTTTTATTGGGGCAAGGAGTGAGACAAAATGCCATTCTTTCAACTCTCCTTAAAATCATTAGAAGCTTGCAGCATGTGTCTGATACAGAAATTACCAGGGGGCAGAAAAGTAATTCTCATTCTTGCATGTGAACAAAAGCAGTATATTTTGGTACCCTTTCCAAAAGATGTCGGGTTTCTCAGGGGCTAGGTTTTTTCCTCCAAGTTCAGCGTAAGGATGATTCTGGACTTCTTACCTATATTTGTTGTTTGTCTCTTACTGGAGCTTTTAATGCTGCAATCTAGATCTGGTGGGCAGAAACAGCTATGAATGAGACCTAGAAAGGGACAGGAAGATGGAATGAGTAACATGTTAGCTTCTCTCCAGATTTCTGTATAGAAATTTAGATATTAAGAAGCGATGAGTGAGGTAATGGACACAGTTTCCACTGAGACCCGTTTTCTGTGTGAAGAGGAGCTTTGTATTCTTTTTCACTTTCTGTAGAAGTGAGTAAATTACTCTGGAGGGATTTACAGGAAGTTATTTGGATCAAGACTGTTGCTCAGAAACATTTTGAATTGCTACATATATTCCAAGAAACAAAGTCTCGAGGTATGCACGTGTGTGGCTTTTTAGGGATAAAGCTAATTCTATGACAATTCCGTATTGAGACTTTTCTACATCAAAAACTAATATTAATTTACCATTGTGTAATGAGTTTATTCAGTGAAGTGGCTGAAATCTGTGTACTACAACTTATTCCTTTATTTTTCTAGCTCCAGTGCTGCAAAACTGAAAGAAAAAATATTTGTAAACAATATACAGGCTTTTTGTATCTGAGAAGAATGCACGTTTTTATGTAGGCTCCAGGACCTATTGTTAAAAGTTTACTGAATTTAACTATATGACTCAAAGTATATAAGCTGAAATTGGAATTAAAGATCACATTCCCATAGCTTTTGATGGTACTTTGAGCCATACTTTCCAAAATGCCCCCAAATTCCCAGCCTGTGAAGAAGTGACTTTATGGTACTGATCTTGGTTCTTATGAAATAAGTTCTAATGCTTTTTTAAAGTATTGCTTCATTCTAGTTATTGCTTTTAGGAATGGAGTGATGTGTGTGAAACTCTTACCTTGCACTAGCTGAAGTCCATTTCTTCAGGCCAGGAATCAACAGAAGTATGTCTTTGTGCCTTATGTGGCACTTGTTGCCAGCAGAGGCTAATCTTGCATAATTCTCCTGCAAAATCAGCACCAGAAACTTGAAACTTTTAATCTGCCCACAGACTCAGATTTACCAACTAACATTTATCCTGGAATTAATACTGTCAGCTGGACCTTAAAATATATAATGACATGTGCACAAGTGCTTTATTTTAAGCTTTGTCACAAAATCTTGTTCCTTCTCCTGTACTTCTAAGTTTTACTTGTTTAGCTATATGCCATTACTGAAAACAGGCCTGGAACCCAAAGATGTGTTAGACTTGGTAGAATACTGTTACAACAATTCTTTTTTTAAAAAATAAGACTTATTTTTGCATCATACAAGTGGTATTTGAGATTTTTCTTAAACATGGTTTTGCCTTCCTCCCTCTTTTCAGACTTTAAGATTCCTTGCCTTCTCATTTTGTTAATTTTTTGTCTTTTGTTTCTAAAAATTAACTACTGTCAGCAGAAACATTTGAATTTTTGAGGACAGAATACTTGGTACACAAAGTAAGCTGCTGGCCATACAGACAAAATAATTCAGTCTGTAGACAGAGATAACTATTTACCATTACATCTCAATTTCCTTGCTCCTTTGCTAAGTACAAAGCCAAGCTCCTCTTCTTTCTTAAACAAATCTGAATGCACTGGAACCAGTATGTTTCACTGTGCAGCAGTAGCAAAATGGAAGGAGTCTGGAAACAAGTATTTTTTTAGAGTTAACTGTAGGGATTCTTATTTTGTTTCTGATTGAGGATGCCTTTGGAGAGAGTGTGCCCTTGGGTATGCTTTATCTACCCATTTTTTCTTCTGCAAAATTCCCTCCTCTTTGTATGGAGGCAAGATGTAGGAGGGAAACAGTTGCTGGAGATGGTAGAAAAGAAAGGACTCTTCTTGAAGACTATGGCTTCACAGCTACTTAACAAAGATTGTGCATAGGGACCCCATAGAGTTTTTCTTTTCACCCTTTTCTCAGGAAAGATTCCCTACAGACTCCTCATTTATTGAAGTGGCATTAATAAATTATGCTGGCTCTTTTGGAACGATTGTTGCCCACTAGGCGAACTTCTGATTCTGTGAAGAAACATACTGTTGTTCATGTCAGGAAATAAATGCAAAGTAAATGTCTGACCTGCTTGCTTCTGAAGCCTCTTACAGTAAGGGATCAATAAGTTTGGATGTGCACAATGTTTGGAAAGGATGGGAACCCTGAAAGCACTAGGAAAGCCAACAAATGAATATTTCTTTTTGTGTCAACAGTAAAACAATACTTTAAAAATGGATAATGTATTGCTGCTGGGGGGTACCGTACCCTGCAGTCTCCCTGTGCTGGGGTTATAAAAGATTATTTTGAAAAATTTTAAATATTTTAATCCCTGTATTTGGGCCAAATTCAATTTTGTATGGTTAATTCTTCAATAGCTTTCATTTACTATTTACGTATGGTCCTATTCAAGCAATAGTAGTGTTATCTTGAAACATGTTGTACGTGACTCCAAAAGTGCATGAGCTTTTTTTTTATTGTAAGAAATTTGGTATTATATCTAATCTGTGACAGGTTTTGAGATCTTTCAAGATGGTATGGTAAATTTACTCTTTCACTCCCTGTATGATAACTTATGAATACAGATTATTATTATTAATAAGATGTATCACTCTACACAGATGGATTATAACCAGTAACTTATTTTTCCTTAGTTCCAAAGACAGAGAACATTGAAGATTCTGCAGCCTTTAACATCAACTTAATGAAGTTCCCTTGTAATGATTTTAGAAAACCAAGCACCGAAATAAAGTTCAATAGGAAAGCTGCATTTGGAACTACAACTCTTGTCTTAACAGATCTCGGTAACAAAGCTGTTTTGAGAAATGAAACCGAACTATCTAATGGATGCTTTCAGTATGTTGCTCCAAAAAGGAGTTGTAATCAAATCCAAAACAATGTCTACCAGTCAGGGGGAAGCACAGACAAGGATTGCTCAACACCTGTAACTGCTATGGCTTTGTCCTCTTGGCACCAACCTCTTGCTTTCAGACACATACAGAAGAAACAGAAAACTCATCATCTCCCCTCTGTTCACCAATATAATATAGCAATCAGGTATGTATTCTAAAATGTAAACAAGTCTTTTTATAATCCCATAAACCAACTTCATCCCTGAAGATTAATGGAATACTGTGCTGTTGGGTTCAGACACTGTTGTCTTTGGATTTCTGCCAGAGGTAACTTATTCTTGGGTAACTAAAATTACACTCAGATTTCAAAAGCACTGAGTGACCTAGGCTGTCACTGGAAAAGTCCTGATTTTGGCATCTGGCCAGTACTGCTGTTAACTAAACAGCTGTTCATAGTTCAGCTATTCCCATGGAATTAGGACAGTATAGCTCTAATAGGTCAACGAGCACAGTTCTACCTAAGGAGCTGTCTGATCTTAGCACTGTAGTTGCTGTCTGCTTAGAGGGATGTTGATGTCATGGTGGAAGATGGCAAAAAGAAAGTAGCTGAATGAATATATTCTGATTAATTATTTGTCAACTACCAGTTTTCAACATTCTTCCATGATATGAAGCTCCGTACAGATACCTTGATGAACCTCCCATCACTATTTTCTCTTAACTTTCCCCCCGATCCTATATGTAACTACTTCAACGCTGTACCCATCCTGAATTTTTATTTACACAGCCCTATTCAGACACATCCATTGCCTAGTGAAGAGAAATGTGAGAACCTCTTAGGGTTGTCAAGGAAAAGTTGGGCAGACATACACAACAGTAATAGGAGTGCAAGGTAGATGTCACAGGTGTAAATTATGCAGGGTGAATGTGAAAGATATTAATGATATACTACAAAATTCTTGGTTGTATGTGTTCTGAAATATAGAAATTATTTCTTGCATTTTTGAAGCACCTGTTTTGAAACAGGATCTCACTGGTTAGGCAGGTAAGGCTGTATGAATGTACTTTCTCCTTGTCTCAGTGGAGGACTACAGAGAACTGAGGATGTAGGCACGATAATTGAGAATACAGAGGAGTCCAAAGAAAAAATGAGATAGTATCAATCACAATAACAGGTAGTTACAGCAAGTCATCAACTTAAACATTTTAAAAAAACCCCAACAAAACCAAACATGTCATAACAAAAACTTGGGGTTTTTTCTTTCTTTTGTTTTAATAAGGTGTTGGAAGAAAACTGCTGGTGTCTGGAAGACTGCAATCTTCCAGACACAAAAGAGAACATAAAATTCCTAAGCTGATAACAAGAATTAATTAATATTTTCTTTTTTCACTATGGTTTCATCACTGCTTTTCTTTATAAATATCTTAGATACATTTCAGAGCATTAATCTTTTTCATGTTACTGTTTTTAAATAAAGCCTTGTGTATTGCATTCAGATAATCTCTGACTTTCAATCATGAGGAAGAATGAAAGAAACTTTATCCCATTCAGAGAACGCTGTTCCACCCCCTCACCTGGATTACTTCTTGTCCAAATATGATTTGGAGCATGACTAACTTTTTAGTGAAGAGGGTAGGAGACTTTTCTGTGAAGCATACAAATATCTTCAGCCTGGAGTAATTACTCGGTATCGATCTTTTTCCCACTGAGAGCAGAATACTCTTGTAGAATATGTTGGAATTTGGGGTGGGCAGCATAATAGCAGTGGTAATATTTATTTTGTTTTGCAGATTAATTTGAGTACTTTAAAATAATTTAAAATATAGGCTAATGCTGGGGAAAACTGGTATAATACCTGCAAGAAAAGCACACAGTCTTGTCTATTCACTACTAGCAATCATTCAGCTTTAAAGGTGCAATACGGTGCATTAGAGAAGCAAGTTCTCTGGCTGTCGTGTGTAAAAGTACGGAGTGAGCTATTGTAATGGTAGAAGAAAGTTTTTGGGTGTGGTGTTGGTAATCCCTTTAACATTACGCAGGAGTCATTTCGTATCCTGTCATTACAGCAAACCTCAAGCTAATATGACAGATGATAATCGTACGTTAAGTGCAGGCCGTCCTTGCTGCAGTAAACACAGCCAACTCTGCAGCCTCAGAGTTGTGAGAAAGGACGGAGAAAACAAGGGCAGGCAGTTTTTTGCCTGTCCTCTACCCAGAGAAACTCGGTGTGACTACTTTCAAGTAAGTATAAGACTTCAGGGCGTGTTTTCTAATAAGCACTTGTTCGTGTAGCCTCCTTGCCCTGCTAATCTGTAATTATGGACAGATATGATCCATTTAAAATTTGAGGTAATTTTAAGTACTATTGCACACTGAATTGCCTAAGAGTATAATAGTAGTTATAAACTTACAGTTTTAGTTACTTCTCTTACTGCTGAGAAGGCACCTGCTTGTGCAAATGCTCTTCATCTGCTTCTGTGTGATGTAAACCAGATGCATAGCAGAAATGTTGGTTTGAAGGGACTTGTACAAGTCATTTGGTTCAGCCTCTTGCTTGAAGAAGGACTGTGGCAAACTCTAGATCTAGACATCAGCCATGTTTCTGTCTAGCCAAAAATCGTGAAAACCTCCAAGGATGAAGATTGTGTAATGTGCCTGGGCAACTGTTCCCCCTGCTGCACTAATACCTAACCGGACCTTCCTAGCTGCAACTGGTGGCCATTGCTCCTTGCTATGAGTGTATGTGACCGAGAAGAGTTTGACTCAGTCACCTACCACCAGGCAGCTAATAGACGAACTCAAGACAGTAATGACTATAATGCCTTAATTTGAAGAAAACTATGTGTTAACATCAATTAAAGTTACACACGTTCAGATGAGTGCAGTTGCAATTAATGTTAAAGAAAAATCTAAAATCAGTTACTACAAAGGAGATCAAGCTATCTTAACTACTAGGAAGAGTTTCTTCTAGGGTCTCCCCTGTAGATCTGTTTCTGTTGGCAATTTTAAAATAAGGAATTCATAGCCATCACATATGCTAAAACTGTGCCTGTTTCTTTTGGCAGTGGGCTGATTTGAATTTTCCATTTTGTAACCATGGCAAGCGATGTGTTATGAAGACTGTGTTCAAGATTGGTCCTAATAATGGGAAGAACTTTTTTGTGTGTCCCCTTGGAAAGGAAAAACAGTGTGGCTTCTTCCAATGGGCAGAAAATGGGCCAGGTATGCAGGTTATTCCTTGATGTTGATGTACTAGTTATCTGCTCCTCAGGATGTCTTAAGTGCATACAACTTTCCTAGTATTTTCTGTTTTGGTTTTTTTCCCCTGTTCACTGGTTAATTAGTAAAATACCTCCAACAACATAAAGAACTGCAGATTTGGAAAGAGTAATTTTACATAGTCCTGTAAAAATTAAATACTTCTTGTGTGCTGCATACTATTTTGAAATAAACATTGAGCTTGCAGTATATTGTTGACACACTTATATTTCTAATAAAAATATTGAACTGTTTTCTTTTTTTCCTGTAAATGTCACTGAAGTTTGACAGCACTGCATACTTTCAAACATGTGATTTATAGAATGGATAACAATCTAAATTAGTATTTTAAATTGGTAGGCTTTTTCATAAATGTAAACATGTATTTAATAAAAGTGAATAAAAAGTCAATATACTTTTTTTAATACCACTTCATGCTCTATTTCTTCAGAACTTAAAATGAACCAGCAATGGGCTGTACACTTTGAATGTTACCATAGTTCAGTGTGTGATCTTGCTTAGATTTGCAAAACAAAGACAAAATCTGCCCTAAAATTAATAACATGACTCTGCAGTTTTCTTAATTACATATTTTAAATCCAGGTCTTAACATTTTATTCTAGTTCCTGCTCAACTTTTTTCCCCTCAATCCATGTGTAATGCATAATAAAACCATACCTCTTAGGTGGTTAAAACTCAGTTTACATTTGCTTGTCTTACCACTGTTTGATGAAGCAAGGGGAAAAGTAAATAGAATATGCTAAGCTATCAAATGTGAAGTAAAGCAGAAACAGATTTCTTCAAATCTTTGTAGCATGTATTATAGATAACAAGGAAGATGAAACTAATGAAGATATGGCCATAGCTTCACAAATTATTGAATGACAATCGGTTTTTAAAGAAAGTAATGGGATGTAGCATTGCTTCCCACCAAAAATGTGCGAGATGAAACAGGTTTAAAAGCTTATGCAAATGGTCCTTCAGTCTATGTAAATACTTCAGAATTAATCATGTCATTTCTGAGAGCTAGTTGCTTTTTGTTGTTGTTGAGGGGGAAGGACTACTTAATTTTCCTGAGAAAGTTGTGGAACTTCAGTCCAATTTAAATCTTCTGTGCCATGGTGCAAGTAAAGCCAATTAATTCATGTCCTAACCAACACAAATTCAGAGGCTTTTTTCTTCCTCTTTTCAGTAGCCTTTGATACCTTTCAAATCTTTTAAAACTTTCCTTATGTGAAGGAAATCTTTTCTAATCAGATTGTAGAAACTATAATCCTTATGTTGCTCAATGGACTCTTTCCAAATAATATCTATCTTTCGTGCAGCCTGTTATTTAAAGTGGGGTACAGAACTCCACCTGAGAACAAAATAAGCTACTTCATGTGGTGAAGACTGACTTTCCATTGCCATCTTTTTATATGATGGTTGTTACAATGATATGTCACTGCTAGCTTGTGCTGATACATCTAAATCTTTAAAATTTCTATCCTCACTTGTATTTGTACAATTGATTACTGTGATAAAGTGTCCGATTATTTTTAAATTGTACATGCTCTTGGATGTCTTGGACAGGGTTAAATCTTCAGTAGTTCACCTAAACATGAAAAATCAAAAAGACGTACAACCATTTTTGATCACTTGCCTTCAACAAATGTTAGGATCTCACTGAAGCTGGAAGTTAAATGACATTTTCAAACTTTGACACTTCAGAGGTAACAGTTGGGCTGTTATGTCTTTTTATATCTTAGCAGCCAGCCAAGAAACAAGTAGCTTTACGTATAACACATACAAGTTTTAAAGGATTAACTGCTTTTATTAGCTACTGCAATCACTTTCCTTTTTCTGTTCTTGTATTTCTAGAACACGTTGTATCTTTTTTTTTAAAAAAAGTGCATAAGCAATATGGAAAGTTAACCTGGACAATGAAGCAATGACATAGAAAATGCATCTACCCTCTGAGGATGCAAAATCTGAATTCTTTATTGGAAGGAGTAGTATGTCCTGCTTAAACTAAGTACTAAACTAAGGAAGTGTGTTTAAAATAAACTATTTTGTCCTGATTGTTGGTTTATCTATTTAACAAGTCATTTCTCCCCAAGTTTGAAAAATTTAAAAGCTTGAGAAATAACCTACATTAAAAATCTTATTACAATAGTGGAAGTTTCATCCTGAATAGAAGTTGTGTTTTATTTTTAAAAAGTTACTTTCTGTATTACCTCATTTCTGCTGCTTTCAGCCTAACTACAGATGTCCGTATGCAGTAACTTACATTATGTTTGAGATGATAAATGCAATAGGCTAGCATAGGCTAGCCAGTTGAAGTAACCAAAGCTGGCTGCAGATAAGTAGCTTGAACAGCTGTACTTCACTATTTACCAGTGAGATTGCAAATTAGGGATTTTATAAAGTCTCTGTGCATGAAGTTGCAATAAAACAGTTTAAGAATTCTAAGCATCTAAGTCTCTCTTAGAGAAGAAGTTTAAACAGAAAATAAGGCAGGAACCACAGGGCAAGGTATGGCTATTAGAAGAGTGCAACATGAAAGTTTTGTTTATGGAATAAAATGTTTATGAAGAGATATTTATTTCATAAACAAAACTTTAAATTTACATTTAATTAAATTTAAATTTAGAGATCAGATTACCACCTAACACTCAAATCAAACAATTTCAGGACTAGCAACTCTTCCCTAAACCTCATGAAAGTAGGGTATGCTAATATCAAGGGCAACTTTACTGCTCGTTTACATCACTAAGGCTATTATGCTATACATTAAATAACAAGATTATAGGGGAGACATGAGATTAGAATTAAATAATTTATAAATACCACCCATTTAAGCTGTAAACTTCAAAAGTTTGTAGAGCATGTTCCCTTGGGCATCTGTTTTGAAGGGGTGATATATTTATATCACAGTGAACTAGCACATGGAGGAATCTGACATGTTTGCACTCCAGCGAAGTAAGAGACTAAGCAAGAGACAGTGAATTCTAATTCACCAGCTGCCTCTGCATAACTTACTGCTTTTGCAAACACTACTTTTTAATTTTTTTTAACTCCCCTCCCCCCTTTTCCTCTTGGGAGGACAGCACTATGTAACTTGTTTAACAAGCTGTGGCTAATAGCTGGTTATAAAAGGTTTTGATAAAAAAAAAAGCTGGCAAGAAGGCTCAAGCTAAATGTCCTGATTTTTAGCTTTTGTCCTAATAGTTTACAGATGTGTTTAGTTTTTCCACATTGATTCATCTGTTACAGTGCAAGTGATAGAACACACTTATTTCACATTTGTATCTGACTTAAGCCATTAAAATGTGTGTGCCACGTACAATCATCAACTGTAAAAGCTAAAGAGAATAACAAAGCCTAAGTTAGAAGAGGGAACTGTCTATCCTGAACATTTTCATTTATATTCCTCATGAAAGCCAGTGGAAATAGGTTTTAAAAAAAATACAGTCCTTTTTAAAGGCCTTAGGATTCTGGCGTAGAGTTACTTTAACCTGTATCTGTACGCGGCTAAGAGAAATGGGATGTATTGCCAGTGTCTACATGAAGCTGTTAGGACTGACAGGCTCACATAAGCTCCTTCGACTGGATGCATTCTGAACGAGGTGGTGATGGCAGTTCTGTAATAAAAAGGAGCCTTCCTTACAATTTTTAGAGAGCTTTTTTAGGCATTAACATTACGAAATGATAGCATGACTCATAACAGAAACCTGTCTTTAACCTTATGCAGAAAACACTTTTTCTGGTTTTATATACCACAAGGCTAACCTCATAAAGCTCTCTGAACTGCACTGAGATGCTACGTAATACAGTTTTTAGAGGATCAAATCAAGGGCACACAAGTTGTGAAGTAAGAATTTTAAACCTAGAAAATGCTAATGCCATACCCAGTTTTTGCTTTATGGTAGCACTTTAGTTACTATGGAGTTTAAGTAAGTTTAGGCAGAGTGTGTCTTTCACTTTGAAAGTAACATTTATTTTGCAATTTGTGACATTCCGGTTAGAATCAACAGATTTTTATGCCTGGTTTTGTGCCTTTACACACTTATTTAAAGTACTTCTATAACCAACTATTTGTTACAGACAGACATGCATTCTTCTTAATCTCTACATGCACAGCTACCATTTGATGGCAATATGAATTCAGCAAATAGATTCGGGGGAAAGCAATGGTCTTATATTAGTCATTCACTGAGGGAGAAATACATTTGCACCAAAAATATACACTCAGATTTTGAGACACGACTATGCCACAGCTGTGACTACAGACCTTTACAATTACACATATACAGCAATTTCTGCATCCACCTTCCTGTGTAAAATGGTGCTAGTTCTCACTTGTTATTTCTGGAATGGAAAACATAAATAAGAGTGTTTTAACTTGATGGGGGGAAGGGAACTTTCAAAGAACTGGAAGATGCCATCCTTTCCTTAACATCTGTATGAATGTTTATCATTAGGGGGTAAGCATCTTTCACATGGAATCAAAAGGTATTGCAAAGCCTTTCATGGACTTCACAGCAACTGTACGCCCTCTTTCTCTCCGAACAAAGTCTCTAGAAGATTTAAAACTCTTTTCAACATCCTTCTGGTACCTTTCTGCACTGTGCAATTTAACTTGCTATTTGCTACACTTGTATTGACATTTGCTGATGACAGCTAGAGTTCAGCATCTAGTGTAACTTAATATGCTGCATAGCTGTCTTCTTATTCCTCCAATGCCTGAAAAGTTATTATGTCCAATTTTTACTTGAATATCCAAAAACATACATTCAAAAGCCATTTAGAAAAAGCATGAAAATGTGCCCTACTTTTAGCTTGGAGTTTATTTTGTTGTTCCACTAAGGAGTGAACCCAGTGATACAACTATTTTCCAGATAAAAGGTTATTAAAAATGCAACAAGCACACTTACGGGTGAGTAGAATTCAGAGTGTACACAGTATTGTCTAAACACAGTCAGTGCTTTAGTTATTTAACTTA